AGTCCACTGCTGGACATAGGCCTCTCCTTAGAAAGGAGGTTTTGGCCTACTATACCACGCTGGCCAGACGGGTTGGTATAGGGTTTGTTTCAAGTTTTCCTTCTCTTTGCAGTGCTGTTATCCTGCGTAGTTTGGTCCCTTAGTCGGCTCTTACGACACCCACGGGATGAATAGGGGTGGTGACATTACGTATTCTTACTCCGTCACCACACGGATAATAACCTTTATAGCCCTGGTCTATTATTACATCGTTTTTCTTCTTAACAAGTTTGATATAGTTTCCTTGTTATGTTTATTATTTATTGGTATTGTAGATAAATAGACAAAGAACACTTTATTTGTACACCATTGTTACAGTATAATTCTCATGTTCGACTTGTGAAAATAGCTGAAAAGATTTACTTGCAGAAATATATATCATTTCATAATTTCATTTCATTTCATGCATTCATGTGTCTTATTGCTAAATGCAATGTTGATCAAAATGATTCGGAGCGACATTGGTTACGGCGTCTTTCAATTTGAAAATTATATTTTTATTTTATATTTATAGTATTTTAACAAAAGTTATTGCTTGAACTCACCTATTTTCAAGTTATAACGCATTCCATAAGCTTCGATAATAAATATTGATCATGGAATGCAGCGACATCACCAGTCTTAAATTTTTGGATGACCTTTTTCTTGTGTGTCATTAAAGAACTTGAACCGTTCTTTGAGATATAAAGGGGCCTAAGGGTTGAATAAGATGTTGTTAAGAAAAATGAGGACATGAGTACTCCGTCGCGAACGAATTGGGAGCCACTTGAACTTTTAATGGAATCATGTGTGGTGTGATTAAAAAAAATCTTAAAAATAATGACTTGTTTTATAACATGTAAAAATACAACAAGGTAACTTTAAGCGAGAAATCTGTTTGTTTTGAGGTAACATTAGCGTTCATGAACTGCAGTAATCACTTTGAATTAGGTGATACGTCTGCTTGTTTGCTACCTGAACCATAAAAAATATGGTTTTTATTTATTTATTTATCTTTATGCACTTTTGTACATCGGCGGACTAAATGCCCAGGGCATTCTCTTCCAGTCAACCTTTGGGTGATGTAGAAATCTTGTAAGGTAGGTGCACAGAGGTTACATCATAATATCAAATGTACAATGAAAATATATACGGTTCACTACATATATAAACATATACACACATACTACACTTACACATCATAAATACGCATAGATAAATATACATATATATACAAGTATATTTATATAGATACATAGACATATCTTATTCGTACACTATGAAAACCTGAATATGAGGTATACTTAACTATGGATTAGATCGTTCTGAAATTTCTTTAAGAAGGAGAGCATGTACCTTCTTTTTGAATATAAAGCGGTTTGTGGACATCCTGATTTTGAGCGGGAGCGCATTCCAGAGTAGTACTGCTTGAACAAAGAACGAAGATTTCACGAAGTCGGAGTTGTGAGAGGGACATAAGAGAAGCAGATTGTTATCTGAGCGAAGGCTTCTGTCATGATTGCTAGACAGGTAACGTAAGTAGGGAGCAAGGTAAGTAGGTGAGGACGGTGAATTGAGAAATGCAAATAGAGAGGTAAGTGCGCGCTGTCACGTCACTGTCAAATCGTATGAAGGATATTTCAAAAATACACCAACAAAACTTTTAAAGCTTAAAAACATTTTGGTATTTATATCATTTTCTGACTAAATCTGTCTTTTAATTGCACTATCTTGTTTTTAGTGTGTAGCTACAAACATATTAAAATATATAGTTTAATATAGTCATACCTAAAGGCCCTTTAAATAAGGGAGATAATACAATAAAAAATTCAACAGACGTGGCTTAAGATTAGGGAAGCTTTGTAAGTAAAATCCTAATTTTCAAGGCAAGAAATCCTTCGGATCTGATCTTTGAAGATATTTAAAGGTACATAAGAATGAGAGAAAAAATTTGTCGCATATCAAATCATGATTAAGGATTAGATAGCAAAAATCTTTTTTTCTCTGTAATCATTTTCGGTTAATGCCTAGTAAGAAATAGGTGTTTCATCATTACTGATAGAACAGTCGGTGGAACTGATTCGTGATGATTAAATAATAGATGGATGTAGGCTACACGGGATCGGTTCTTGTGTCAAGTTATTTTTAGTCGACACATCAAATATACATATATTTTGAGAAGTTTCCGTGTGGTGACGGATTAAGAATACAGAGTGTCACCACCCCTATTCATCCCGAGGGTGTCGTAAGAGCCGACGAAGGGAAAAAACTACGCAGAACAACAGCACTGCAGAGAGAAGGAAAACTTGACACAAACCCTGTACCAACCCGTCTGGCCAGCGTGGTATAGTAGGCCAAAACCTCCTTTCTAAGGAGAGGCTTATGTCCAGCAGTGGACTATTAAAGGCTGTTGACGATGATGATGATTGAGAAGTTTAAAACACTACTTAAATCATTTATTAGACATATCGGCGCAACTACTTACATGGAACCAATGCCGATATAAAGGGGTAATTCTTCAGGGGTGATGGTAAGGGGTCCAAGTAGTTATTGTTATGGGTCCTGTCTGTTTTGTGTGTATACTATTACGTTCTGTGTAATTTATAAGTGATCTGTGCCTGTAACTTAGATAATACCTCTTGATAATATTCTGTATTGTCTTGTGCACTGTAACTTATCTCTGATTTATATAAGTGAGGATTTGTAATTGGCTATCTGTTTTCTTTACTGCTTTTAACTGCTTTTTTACTGCTAAAATAAAGCTTAGTAGCTTTCTGAGGAGAGGCCTATGTCCAGCAGTGGACTAGTAAAGGCGGTTGATGACGGTGATGAGTTTTGGAATAATACTGTGATACTTCGTTATTTTTTTCACTGACGTCACTATTTTTAAAAGCAACCTAGACACCGGTTCTCCGTCATACATGATCGAAACAAAAAGACTTTCGAAAGTTATTAAACTGGTAATGCAAGTGCATTTTTCTTACAGTTAGACGGTGGAAAGTTATTTCTAAATCCAATTACTTATCATTAATTTGGTTACTAACTAATGACCCCCATAATTTTTAAGTGGTAAACTTTAGCCCAAATAAGTCAGGAAAATTTATATTTTGACAACTTTGTTGTAAATATTTAGTTTCTGGGACATTGGATTTTAAGACATATATACAGGGTGTAAGGGACATCGTAACGAATACTGAAATAGTGTATTCAAACCATGATTCTGAGTCGAAAATCATTGGAATTTTCTGCCGCAAAATTTATCATTTTTTTTATAATTTTCCCCTTTTTTGTAATCAACCAGCCAAAACGGGCTCCCCTCGGGCCGTCAACTTGTATTATTGTACTTGGACTGTTTGCACGGAATACACATGTAGTTATTACTTTTGTGCGATAACTACGGGAAATGACCTTTATCTTTGACAGCTGATTGCATTAAAAGTTTAATTTTCAGGAAGTAAATTCCAATGATTTTCGACTCAGAATGATGGCCTGAATACACTTTTTCAGTAATTGTTACAATGTCCCTTAAACCCTTTATGAACCTTCCTCGACAGTTAAGTAATTCATTCCTTTTCTGACAATTAAGTTAAAGATACTTTGAGTTATTGCAAGCTGAGTAACAATATGGAAAATATATCTGGGAGCACAACAGTATCCAACAGTAGCCAAGACGAGACTATGAAAGAGCGGCTTAACTTTATTATTATTTTCTACAAACTAGCTACAAAAAGCTGCGAAAGTACAGATAAATGCTAATGGTGCTAAATCTGTTGTTCGAAAACTTTCTAAACTTAACTAAAAATCACTAAAAAAAAATTGTCTTGAAAAATATTACGTTTTCAGAATAGGGAACGTTTGACAGAACTAAATAAATTTTTAGTGATTTTTAGTTTAGTTTAGAGAGTTTTCGAACAACAGAATTGGCACCATTGTTTAGAGTTGTTAACTATCTACTGACCAATAAGTGAGCTGCGTGCTTACTCACATCTCTGTTGTGTGTAAATATCCCCACTTAATATTATAAATGCTAAAGTACCTCTGTCTGTCTGTTAAAGATATTTGAAAGCAGATTCTTTGATTATTGAGGAAGGACATACGCTATTTTTCACTGAGAAAACCGACATACATAGCGGAGCCACGGGAAAAATCTAGTCCAAAATACAAATTGCTGTCATGATTTTTTATTCAGATTGTTGAAGGGTAAACTTTTAGGGTGTGTTTCTCAAATAGAATCTTGCACAGAAAGTAAGAAATTCAATATTCAAGGAACGGACATTGAAATCAGATATGTCCCAAAGAAATTTGAAGTACGTTATTTTCTTAAATATGGTGCTAGTATGATACCCTGTGGGATTTTTGGCGTGATGAGAATTATATTTTGCGAATATTCAATTCCATTGCTATATTTGTTCAGAAGTCCCTTGAATTTTAATCAGTCAGTGTCAATTTATGTTTTCCACTGAGACAAGAAATAGCATATTTTGGAATCGTAGACGGATCTGTCTATTTAAGTTTCTTGGTTTATAATTATTTATCCATGTGTAGAACATTATATACTGCAACAAAATAACTTATTTAAAAAATACTTGCTATAATGTTTTTTTTTTTTATTATTATGTGACGACCGAATGGCGTAGTGGTTTGTGTAACGGACTGCTATTCCAAAGGTCGCGGGGTCGATTCCCGCTCAAGTCAAACATTTGTGTGCATGAACATTTAATGTTTGATTTGGTCTGGGTGTTTCTATGTATAATAAGTAAATTATGTTTCTATGTATAATATGTATACCTAGTATGTATTTACAAAAAAAAAAGTATATATGTATTTATATCAGTTGTCTAGTACCCATAGTACAAGCTTTGCTTAGTTTGGGACTAGATGGCGTTGTGTGAATGTGGTACAATATTATTATTAATATTATCATTATTATTATTTCACATTGTGATAGCTTCGTAACATTCTGTTTTTTTTTATTATTTCAGCTTTGCCGCCAAGTGGTCCTGTATTAAAAGCAGACAAAGACCGTTACCAACCTGGGGAGGTACTCCAAGCAAACTGTACTTCATCACCAGCTAAACCTGCTGCAAATCTCACCATATTCATTAATGAAGAAGCTGTAAGTATATATTTATTGTATTATGGAAACTTTATTTATAAAAAATGCTACTTATGCTTACTAAATATCATATCATCTACTATTCGATAATATTTAAGTACATGAAATATTTTCCTGAAAGAAAAAAAACAAATACTATCATCTAGTTGTAAAGTATACCTTTTAATTTTTTTTTTTCCGTGCGCAAATCCCCTCGGATACCACCGGTGGCATGTCGGACACGAACCGACTAAAACCGCACGCCGGGTACTAATAGCCGGGGAACCAGGTATACCCTAGAAAGGAAGTCCCTGGTGCCCCGATATACCTCGGGCCATCTACAGACGAGTAGACGACCCCCCCGGGTGGGAACCCCATGTTCCCTCTGCTCTTTGGAAGCGAGCGCGCTTCGCAATGCGCTCGCCGCCACCCTGGCCTGCTTCTGCTAGGGTGACAGATGGCCTCACCTGTCACCCCCAGACCTGTGCTTATGGAGGACGGAGGTCGTTCTGCGACCTCCGGCGCCTGAGTCGCTTGCGGTACCTAGCCCGTTCCCGGTCCCGCTCCGCCGTCTCCTTCGCGAGCATAACTTGCTCGCAGAAGGAGACGGCAGAGTTCCACGCACTCTCGCTCCGCACGATAGCCGCAATCAGGCTATCGAGCGAAAGAACTCCCACTCCGATGGCCGCCACGAGGTCTCGCCTCTGCTCAACCCACGCCGGTTGTAAAGTATACCTACGTTAATAATTTGATTGTAAATTTATATTTTGTCAAATAATGTTATTTAAATTTAGATTATACTCAAGTACTTTATGCTGACTTATTTGAGTTTATTTTCTATAGTGAGTGTGGAAATAGGTATTTTCAATAACTTTTTTATCTAAATATACAATTACATAAATGTTAAGTTGGCTTGTGTACGCTTAAAAAACTCCAAAAGTTCTGCATCGATTAAGCTCAAATTTGACACGATATATAACCCGTTCCGAATTTTTTGAAATAACACCTAAGCTGAGTTCTGATCAACCGATAGGAACAGCGGTGGTTCTATAATATACCTAGGTCGAGGCAGCCTAATACTGGCGAGCAGAAAATACGGCATAATTTTCATTGGTAGAAAAGGTTAGCCTGCTTATGACATCGACAAGGTAATAGGTTTTATCTTGCAAGTAGACGTTATCACCAGAAATAATAACCATAACTTGAATTACTGCTACAAGAAAACCACTTATTTCGTATCTATACTAATATTATAAAGCTGAAGAGTTTGTTTGTTTGAACGCGCTAATCTCAGGAACTACTGGTCCGATACGAAAAATTCTTTCAGTGTTAGATAGCCCATTTATCGAGAAAGGCTATAGGCTGTATATCATCACGCTAAGACCAATAGGAGCGGAGCACCAATGAAGAATGTTTCAAAAACGGAGAAAATTTATTACTATTGAGAGACGCAGACGAAGTTGCGCAGGTCAGCTAGTACTCTGATAAACCACTACACTGAGTCATCTTCGCAGTGTAATATAAAGGTTGCCATATAATTATTCATCATCATCATCATCAACAGCCTATACTAGTCCACTGCTGGACAAAGGCCTCTCCTTAGAAAGGAGGTTTTGGCCTACTATACCACGCTGGCCACACGGGTATAGGGTTTGTTTCAAGTTTTCCTTCTCTTTGCAGTGCTGTTGTCCTGCTTGGTTTGCTCCCTTAGTCGGGTCTTACGACACCCACGGGATGAATCGGGGTGGTGACAATTTGTATTCTTAATCCGTCACCACACGGACTTACTATAATTATTACAAATATAATTATTACAAAAATGAATATAATGAAAAGTCATAATGTTTGTTGTCCTCACCTTTATTGCAAGGTAAAATGTAGAGGATTGTTTGATAATGTTTCAAAATTGTTGTCGAACGTTACACTATGCCTTCCATAGTTTTAGGACTCTTAAGGATTTCTATAGCGCAATATATTATTATTATCTAGGTATATCTTGATACAAGATATACCTAGATAATAGATATTGTATGGTATAAAGTAACTTATAAAAATAATATTAAAAAGACTTTCTTTTTACATTTCAGCTGCGTTCATCAGAAATGAGTCTTCATCCTACTGATAATGGCCTTTACTGGACAAATGTAAAGGCTGACATCAAGGTGACACAAGATTTGTTTATCGGCGGACGTCTAAGAGTCGCCTGTCTCGCTAGCGTCTATGAAGTGTATAGAAGCTCAGCTAATCTTGACTTCTTCACGCCGGAGACTGATCCAAGACCAGAGAGAAGTAAGTCGGAGAACTTAAATTAACTTTTACAAAACTTTATAAATTTTTAACCGACTTCCAAAAAGGAAGAGGTCTACGTTCTCCATTATCAGGATAACTTGTTGCTCAACTTCGAGACTGGAGAGATTAGACTACTTACTAAGCCTAATATTTGTAAATACCCGAATTACTGTGGTGAGAAATAAGCATTATTATTTTTATTACTTTTGATCCAATGGCGCTACTTCAAATCCATAGATCGAATGTTATGGCAATTGTTAATCACACACGTACTGTTTCACTTTTTTTAAATGGGTTTAATCCCAACAGTGATGGGCTTGAGGTATGCCAAACGCCCACCACTGTAACTCCTGTACACCAGGATCAACAACAGTGACCCACGAACACACCGATTTCTAAAACCCGGGAAATCCCAGGAAAAATTAAAATGTCTGGAAACCTGCAACGAAATTAATCAGATGAAAATGGGAGGAGTTGGAATTATATAATAAATCCACTTCCCTCCTTAGCAAAGAGACAAAACAAAATAAAGTAAAATAGGCATAATGTACCCTTTTAAACAGGGAAGCACCACGGCCACAAAATATTTTGGGTCCTAAGTATGGAAGAATCGCCTAAACGCACGGCATATTAACCTAGTTAACACAAAATCCCCATCGTGTACCGCCCCAGATGTCACCTGTAAGCTATTTAGCATTATATTACGTTCAGTATACCAGACTACATTCCCAGAGGATATGATAAGCAGTCTGTTCATAGTTAGAGTTAGGTGTTGAGCATTGACACAATGATGACTCGACTAATTTAAATGAATACAGTGTCCTCGTTCGTCAACAGATGTAAAGAACTAGTAAAGGTGGTCCCTTTAGATGATTCGTCTCAGCGTTGTTGCCATTCGTCTATGAGGTACACTATACATATCGGACTGCTGTTGAAGCAATCTTGTGATTTTATCGCGATCTCGTGCGCCCAAAAAATCGAATTCCATATTTTCTAATGTTGTATAGCACGTCTTTGCACGTCGAAATCGACCGAAAGCACACCCGCCAACACCGGTAAAGCCTCAGTGCTAACTGTCCTATATGCATGACACAAAAATATTAGGGCAAGTAGTTGGCCTTGTAACAGTTTGCGACAAACAGCGCCTACGATCGCTCTATCGGCCCATACAGGTGCACCATAGGACATAGAACCTTTAGTAAGTAGCTCCGTATATGATCTTTAGTGTATTAAATGATAGACCCCCTGTCGCAGTTAATATCCTTGTCAATGCACAGAAACTCATTTAAACATTTTATTAACTATTTTAATATGTTCGATAAATGAAAAGTTTCTTTCTAAAACTAATCCTAAATAACACACTAAGGTTTTATTTTTTACAGTAACATTGGCAAATTTAATGCTCGGCGGTGATTTGAGGTCGCCTTTTAAAAGTAGCTGGAAGGCTTTGTTAGGTGCAAAAGTTAAGAGTCTACGTTCACCCCAATGAGATATTAAGTTCAAACATCTATTGGCTAATTTCTCAAGCCCCGCCCTAATATCAGATTCCACCAATAATAAACCGTAGTCAGCACAGTATTCAGAGAACATCCGTATGGTATTAGTATTACAAGAAAATTGTCGAAGCCTATATTGCACAAGTATGGACCTAGCACTGATCCCTGAGAACATCCCCCTGTAAGCAGCTTCGACACAGAATGACCAAGTGTTAGTTTAGTTGTCAATTTCCCCAACGTGAATCCAAATTGTTTATCATGAAATTTAACTCCACCCGCAGAAGCCGGGGCACTACAAAACGTTCTAAAAACTTTTCTAACGATAGTAACAATGATTGGTCAGGAGGATTCAGGATCATTCGGCGGGTTGTCACCGCTTTTTGGTATGACACAAATATTACCACACCGCCAAATTTCTTCCGCAATGAGATTAAAAACGGTCAAAATCGTGCCACCCGAAAGTTTGCAAGCTTCTTTTATCCTTTTGTTTGATATTTTATCATCTCCTCAAGTCTTGTTTAGCTGCAAGGATCTGACGATATTGCGAAATTTGTCTGAAGATGGTAAGTCAGACATTGGAGACAGTGGTGGTTCGATGGCCCACTGCCTGATCTGTCGGTGATAATCGGTATTATTGTCCGGCCGATGGTCAGGTACAAGTGATTCTAAAAGATATTTTGCTGTTTGTTCTACTCTTGTAGTATATCTGTTATTAATTTTGATATTGTGTACTTGATATTGATCTATTTGCCTTAAATTCATTGGCAAAGGTGACCACAGGTCTTCTCAATCGATTTTATCAAAAAGTTTCTGAATTAAGTTTCCCTTAGTTTTTTCTGCAGCGGCTCTGTAGTGGGATCTGAAACTCTGGGAGCAATGAGAGCATTATTGTACCAATCTCCTGTTACATTATGATTTTTAATAGCGTTTAATTTTCTCCAAGCTTTCCGATAGCTTCTACGTAGTTCGACTAATTTATCATGGCACCAATCTCGTCTACGAGTAAAAGACACATCCGCAAAGTATGTGAAAGTATCTGAAAGTATTTCGGCACTTTCCTCAGCTGATAGACTACAGCGACTGAAGTCTTTGGCGTGAGCTGCAAAGACTGAACCAAAAAAAGCCCAGTTCTCACCTTTAGTTTTATATCTAAAATTATCAGAGGTTCTTTGCGGATCCTGTGCAACCCTTGGTATGAATTCGTACACGATCAAGAGGTGATTACTACAAGATGCATCTGGGAGGAGACGCCATGGGTAGTCAATAGTAGACTCACCCCTTGGGTTGCAAAAAGTTGGTGGTGCATAGTAAGATTCATTTCTGCAATGAAATCTTCAATCGCACAACGTTGAAATATATCGGTTACGTAGTTGACGCATTAATATCAGCGGCAATGATGATTTTGTGTCCCCTGAGGGACATATAATATTGCTTCACTAGATAGATCTCAGGAAAGAAATAAACTAAATATTAAAACTTTTATGACTATGTAATCGTATTTTTTTTCTATTTTTTTTCCAGTTACCCACAATGACGCATGTTCAGCGAAGTGCTTCCGAAGTTGGCTTGTCGTGCTGTTTATATTTCTTCTCCCAATGGTCATGGGTCAAGATTTCGATGCACCCGAACACGAATATGAAGACTACGATGAAATTTACACAAAACATCCATTTGAATCTCTGGTTGGGGGTTGAAAATAACTGTTTCAATAGGTTAAGAAGACGAATTTAGTCCGATAGTAGCACCTTTGTCCTAAATAAGTACTTGTTTTTATTTTAATAAGGCTTTGCAATTTGTTTTAAAAGTTTAAAATGTTATTACAAGAGTTTATTTCTTTCTTCATTTAATAAACCTAAATATTGAGCAGGTCTCCACATGACACTACAAATAAAATTAACGATAACTACAAGTTTATTATTTTATGAATATGTTCATGTAATTATAAATGACGTTGCAATATTATCACAAAAGACTGTTTTTGTTCCTTCAATATGTAATTTAAAATTTTAAGACAGATTTTTTAAAAGTATTTCCTTCTGAAGCGTATAGGTTACAGCTCATTACACGCACCCGACACCCAACCAGTACCACCTCTTGTCGGTGTCCACTCTTTGTCGACGAGTGGTCCACGGGTGGTTTACGAATGGACTCCGCGTTGTTGACCAGAAAACGATACGACAGACACGTTCGCATCTTCCTCGCGCGTGAACTATTCGATGGCGAGGCGCTCCGGTGTTAATGTAGTAAGCATACACATGTCATAGTACTCCATACAAAAAATACTTACCGCTTGAAGCAGGGCGGTGCTGGTCGGGTGCCGGGTGGCTCTAATGAGCTATGACCATAAAGCATTTATAACCGAGTGATCACCTCAGTGGTGGTAAAACAAAACAAAAAGGAAGTTACCATATTAACTGATAACTTATTTCTTTTTTTAACATTTTTTTTGTTTTAAAAATCAAAAATATATAAACGATAAATTGAGCTGTGTGATAAATAAAGATTTTTTTTATATTACTATGTTATATTCATCCCATGTGTGAAAAAAAATTTATATTATTTATGCCAGATTATGTTCTTAGTTAAATTTAAAGATACTCCACCTCTAAGAGTGAAAATTTAGGAAATAAAGAACAAGACCTATTACAATTTTTACCAGATTTAGGTTTGTGATACTTTTCAAAAGTTAATAATAAAGTACGAACTCTCACTACACAAGTTGTTTTGTTTTAATAAGTATTGTTAATAATTATATAATTATGTCACGTGATTTGCAAGCCTACTTTAGCTTTATTAATATTACCACTGATGTATGTACATTCCACTTTTAAATATTTCTAAATAATTAATTTCATAAAAAATGTAAATAATTAATTTTATTGTAAAGATATAAAATATTGTGATAACTTATAAAGGCTCCATGGCCAGTTAAGTTAAGGTTAGCAAAGAAAATTAAATTTTCAGATTACCCGAGTGTAATTGTTTATTTGTCGTTGTTACTATGTTATGTCAAAGACCGTCATATTATTACTATACACTATGATATAAATTAAAATATAATGAACTGTAAATACGTGTTTTGAAAAAAAAAGTGTGTGTTCGATTTACAAATATTTTGACGCTTTTAAATATTTGTTGTTAATAATAATGCATTCACATATTTTACTGATGTTCAAAAATAGCGCAAGTCTCGGAGTGGAAATGGGACCCATACTACAGTATAGCAGTACTGCAGTATCGTATACCCATAGATCTGTTTTTTGATTGAACAAATCATTACAAAAGAGATATAAACGAGCCAACCTATTCCAGACTATTCATAGAAATATACATCTATATATATATATACAGTGGTATATATTTAAAGTGGGACAGTCATAATACCTTAAAAAAAGGACCGCCTCGATCGGAGTGGTATCACTTGGCCTTACAGAAAACTATTGTTGAGCAATTTTTTAGTTGCTTTCAACAATAAAGTGAGGCTACAGGAGGCTTAACCAGCAAAGAATTGTAAGCAATTTAAGGAAGGCAACACAAATGTGTCTCTAGAAGCGGTCCATGGTTGCGCATGCATTCAGTAGTCGTTTCTATTCACTTACATGTTGGTTTATATTGTGGCACACTGTGTGAAAAAAACTATGGTAATTGAAAATAAGTCAAAATTGTTATTGTAAATATTTATAAATTAAGACGTTTCAAATTATCCGTGTGGTGACGGATTAAGAATACCGAGTGTCAACATTCCTATTATCTATTCCTGGGTATCGTAAGAGGCGACTAAGGGAACTAACTACGCAGGACAACAGCACTGCAAAAAGAAGGAAAACTCACAGAAACCCTATAGCAACCCGTCTGGCCAGCGTAATATAGTAGGCCAAAACCTCCTTTCTAAGGGATGGCCTATGTCCAGCAGTGGACTATTGAAGGCTGTAGATGATAATGTTGATGACTCAGGAACATAATGTAAATGCACCATAATTTGATGTATTAATCAAAGTCTCTCAAAGCGACCATGCTAGTTTTTAAGCTGCAATGAGAATATTTGTAAATAATTCCCTGTTACTTTTACACACCTATAATTCCTTTTGTTAAATACATACATACATACATTAGCGTTTTCTTCCCGTCCGGGGTGGCCAGAGGCTATAAAACGCCATTTTCTACGATATTGACTCTTTCAACTCTTGAACATTTATTTATTTTTGCTTTAACAAAACTCTTCTTCAGTACATTGCCAATCTGGTCAGTACTAATATTTCCCATTAGCACCGGCTTGCCAACTCACAGGAGCTTTCCTATTCCCTTAGTGTTCTTTCTTCCTTTTAACTCTTCGCTCATCCTTTCAACATTTTCAAACCTACACAGCATACCATGCACAATTCTTAGCACTGCAATGAAATATTATTCGTACACAAGTGCTTGACCCTGCCTTCCGCCATGAGAATAATTTATAATAATGCTCCTTCCAATTCGTTAACATTTTTGTATTTTTTTATAAGACTACTCCCGCATTAGGAATATATCCTGTGTCGCGGGGGACTTTACAAACATACATGAAACGGATACAAAGAACATCCAGACTCAGAACAATTTGTGGATCACACAAAGTGTCGTTCCCATGTGGGGTTTGAACCCACAACATTCGGCGCAGTAGGAAGCGGCTTAAACCACTACGCCATCCGTGCAGTCAGTTTAAATCCCTTTTTACAGATGTGACAACAACAATTTGAAATTGCAAAAAAAACTGTACAAAAGCCTTGGCCAAGTTTAATGTTAGAAAGCATCGCTTCAAGGTTTGACTTGAAATTAATATTTACAAAGGCAATCCTACTGACGTTAGTTTGGCTTATTGTATTATACTAAATGTCTAAAGCCAGATCTTTAAAATGATTAGTGTAAGTGACCAGTAACTGCCTCCCATTTTGGCAACTATAAATTGAGTCCCCTTGACATAATAACGTGCAAGCCTTCTACTGCCAATCGGGCTACTAATTGGATTGGAAAATTGGTAGTATGGACAGGTAAATAAGAACTCGATGGTAGAAAAGCTAGATCATGTGTAAACTTGATCGGGTATACATGTGTAACTTTTAGTGGTTATTTACGGAAATTTCGAGTCATCTAATCGACTATAAATGTATGAACTGCATGGAAAAATATGATTTGTATTTTTTTATAATCAAAATTTTTAATAATAATTGAGATTATTCTAAGCAATATTGAACTCTATACTTTATACTTTTAAGCATAAGAGTGTCGAGAAGAATAAAATCATTTTTTAAGATGCATAAATCATTAAAAGGTACTTTAGTATTGATTTTGAAAAAAATAAGATAGATACAGTGTCGAGTATACTAAGTTCAGAATATGTAAAAAAAAATCTTTTAAAATTTTATGAACAAATGCAAATCCCGCCTCTTTAATAAATAATTGATTCAAAGTCTCCTTGGTCTGACCCAAACTCTACTTGTTGCTAAGGCGAAAAGTGCATGAAGCACTTGTGGCGTTAGCAACAAGTAGAAGAAAAGCACTACCCGTCTTTCTCTCTTCTGTAACGTAAATTTTACAAGACCAATTCAGTAAAAAAAATCGGAAAGGATAATTCTTATAAACTGGTTAGTTTATAAGGAGCCTGGGAGCACAGTGTGTTTCTTTTGGTAAATCATTTTTTGGTTATTACTCTACTCTCTATGTATTAATTTGATGCCGTTGGTGGAGCACTGTCAGTACAGAACAAGTAATGTAGGTTAAGGTCACGTGTACCAGTTAAAAGATAAAAAAAAATATTCTAACGTCATCTAGTTTTTCGAACATAGACGCAATCTTGATGGTTTTTTAAATAAAACTCTTTACAAATTAAAGAATATTCCAATTATGTATAAATCATCAAATTACGTCTAAGCACATGTTATATAAATACTTATAAGTTATTATTTTTGATCATTGATTAATTTACCCAAATATTTAATTACTTTAACAATGTGTAAATAAATAAAGATAATTTTGAAATACGTCAACTTTTGTTTTATTTAACAAAACCGTTTTTTGTGGAATTTTTAAACGATATCAAATAGGGGAAGGTTTTTACTTAACCTTAATATTTATTTGTATCTGTTAACAATATGCTACCCATTTTTAAACTAATTAGTAAAAAATATTTAATCAAATTAGTTCCACTTAAGGTTGTTTGAGGTGACACCATTTACTTGAGGTGCAATCATGTTTAAATAAAATTGTATACCTGCATTAAGAAATTATTAAATTAATTATTTAATCACTTTTGATCTATTAACTTCATGTGCATTAATTTATTAGTAATGAAGAAAATATTTTACTACGAATAATAGGCGTTGTTTTTTAAATATCCTCAAAATTTCGTAATTCGTAGTTGATCTACATCAATCGGCAACATCATTTAGTAAAATGTATAAATTCTACTGTACCTATGTTACCATGCATAAAACAATTTACAATTATAGCAAACGAAATCCCACAGCTAAAGAAATACAGGATCACTTAATATAAAAATGTGTGAACGGATTTAAATAAAAAAGAATCTGTTACTTGATATTTCTTTTATTATATTTCTATAATCACGTTAAACCCGCATTACGTATACTAAGAAAAGTTAAATAATGCTTAGACAAGAACCACTCGGTAAAATTTTTGAGAACAGAGCCATCCTAGTTCCAAACACATTACACAGATGGCGCTGTACGCAACTTGAGTAGAAGTCATGAAAAAAAAAGAAAATATCTACATTTATTAAACACATAACAGCCTTTAAAAAAGGAGGTTTTGGCCTACTATACCACTCTGGCCAGAAGGGTTGGTATGGGGTTTGTTTCAAGTTTTCCTTCTCTTTGGAGTGCTATTGTCTTGCATAGTTTGCTCCCTTAATCGCCTCTTACAACACCCACGGGATGAATAGGGGTGGTGACACTCCATATTCTTAATCTGTCACCACACGGACTAACCACTAAACTACACACATAACCACGTTAATTTGTGGTACAACATTCTTATAAACCGAAGAAATACGAGTATAACTAATATCTAGGTAACATTTCAAACCATAAACCAGGTCTTGGGGGACAAAGAATATAATCACATACATAAAAATACATAAAAATTACAATTACATAAAAATAAAATAATCTTTAAACTATTCACGCCCAGGTAACTATTTATTTCAAATCAGTATCTTTAAAATAAGAAGTACACTAATGAAAGAAGGTTTTCCTAGAATAAAAAGCCGCAAACTAGCAGATGGGTTTCCTAACGGTAAGTGACTACCACCGCCCATGGACACCTGCAAGTCGAAAGTATAGAATTTGAGGGAGGAGGGGTTAACCTCCAGTAACCTCACTCACTCACTGAAAAGTAACCTCGGTAAATCTTAACTTGGTGAAAAGAACATCCGGCGGACCAGTGTGAGTTTATTTTACATCAACTCGCTCTCGACGGCGACCACGTTTATATCATTTTTTTTTAAATGTGTAAATACTCCACTCTTTTGTACCACATTAAGATTCGAGCCATTTATATCATGATGATCACCACTTTATCATCATCACCATCATCACCATGATACTTATACAATAATATCACTCAAATGGGACTGGGCCGGACACGTTTGCCGCATCTATGGGCAAAAATTTGCAAAACTTGGGTCCCACAAGACGCTAAACGACAACGTGGTAGGCCAGTGGTAGGCGGGACGATCCCGACGGCTTCCGAAGGACTAACACTAAACAAAAGAAAAGATTAGAACTAGCACACGATAGAGAGATTTGGAAGGGAGAGAGGGAGGCCTTTGTCCTGCAGTGGGACAATACAGGCTAAAAATAAAATAAATAAATAAGGTAATATTATTATAAATATCTACAGAGTATATTGGTATATTTGCGTAGTATTTCCAACATTATCTGGACCTTTCTTTCAACATCGATAAGAAATACATTATACGAGTGATTCTTCGCTCTTTTTACTTCTGCGCATTGGCGTTGGCATTACCCACAATAATCTATGAAAAAACATAATTGATAAACTATATGTGTTCAAATTTATGTTCTTGATTTAAATTATTGAGTATTATAAAACAATTACCAACGGTGAATTTAATTTCCGCGGGATGTGAATGAAGCAGAAAACCAAAGAATTTAAAAGAACGAATATTTACCCACACATGTTTATAAAACACAACAGACAAGAACAATAGACAGACAAGAACATTAAAATAAAAAAAGTAAAAGAAAATTAAAAACAGAACATTCGCACAGCTGAAGGAAACATTAAAAAAAATACAATTTCAAAGCACATAAGAGTTAATAGGACCTAATTTTGCGACCGCCATGAAAACTATGAATGAGTAGAGCATTATAAGCACACTGCAATTAGAACGCGCTAGAAAAATCAAATTAAAACCTCTAATGAACAAACATCGTGCGCGAAGCGGTCGCTATGTTGGTACAGAGTAAGTAATAAAACAGAGACAAGTTGTTAGATAAATAGATAGAAAGATAGCTTATTATTGCTTAGTACTGATATTATACCCCGATCTTGGGCAGTCGGCATCCATTTGTAGCCAGCCACTTTCCTCAAGTCATCGATCTATCGTGCCCCAGGAAGCCGTTAATCGATCTCTCCACTCTAACTCATGTCGGCGACAACGACCATCAGTCCGCCTGGAGATATAACCAGCCTCTTCCAGTTCAATGTACTGATTCTCCGTGCAATATTGGTTACTCGAGAATATGTTTTATTTCATTGTGCCTTCTTAAAAGGAGCTTATAGACACCAAGGGAGGAAGGGAGGAAGGGGAGCTTATAGATACCAAGGGACAATGAAATAAAACTCATATTCTCTGCAACAATTTAATCTATTTCACTTATTCAGAGCGTCTTCCCGTTCGCATAGTTTGTCTCCGCGGCTTCCGCTAGAGGGTGCCTCGAGCCATACGCCACAAAGCTTTATCTAAGAATTTTATTCTACCTTTACTCCACCGCAATTATTTACCATACGCTGATTCGAATTTATTCTTCTTTGTTTCCTATGCTAATGAAGCTTATTTACATATTGTTTCTATTTAGTTTTCTTCAATAGTGGTTTATCCAGCAACAACTCTTTTTGGAGCGAAGTTCCTTCAACACGCTCTGAGCGGATAGGAGCGAGACCGAAAAATGTGTAACCATGCTTTTTTCCGATACGTCAGCTCACATCTTTTTCATATTTCATATATATGTATATAGCAAACGTCCGTCAAAAGCCACAAGGAACTTCGTTCGGACTGGGGTTCTATAGACCCGAAGTTCCTTGAAGGTTTTATTATAAAATTAATTTTTAATATCATTTCAAGCCGTAGGAGATTCATGCTTCAGTACACATCAGCCGGCTCGGAGTTCCGTCAACCGAAAAACTTGATTTAATATTTTATTTTAATTTGAAATAAAAATAAAATACTAGATTAGTGAGGTTAATGAAGAATTATTTGTGATGCTTGATTTGCAAGTGTATTAAGGCGGTGATAATCACCAAAAGATGATTTGTCTGTTCGCGTTCCCGCTCTTCTGGAAAAGTCTTGGAGGATCCAACGGAACGCTATAAGGCAGGTTACCAAAGTTTACAGACACCGTTTAAATCGATTAAGTATATGAATATAGTACTCGTTTGTATAACTCCCCTTTTAACGCAAATCTTTTTTATCAAAACATTTAGATGTTTATAAACTTTAACTATGATATAAATATGGCATATAAATGATGAAAACTAAGTTCATTTATCATCGATACTACTATAAGTACGGTATCTAAGAAGCGAAACTTCAATTCATTTTCAAATATATCCAGTAATCGCATTATTTTTATGCATTTTGTGATGCATTCATGCACACACAATGACTAATCTTAGGTTGAAATAAAATTCTCTAAATCTCGCCACCAAAATTGTACAACAAAGAAATTAACGCCATTTCTCCAAGAGGTGGGAGCCTAACATAGGCTTTCTAAACAAACACCAGTCTATCATCATCAGCCTTTAACAGTCCACTGCTGGACATAAGCCTATCCTTAGAAAGGAGATTTTGGCCTACTATACTACGCTAGCCAGACGGGTTGGTATAGGGTTTGTGTCAAGTTTTCCTTCTCTCTGCAGTGCTGTTGTTCTGCGTAGTTTTTTCCCTTAGTCGGCTCTTACGACACCCTCGGGATGAATAGGGGTGACGACACTCTGTATTCTTAATCCGTCACCACACAGACCAGTCTCTTGCGTAAGGAAAATAAGATTGTTTACCTACATAATTATTATAACATAAAACTGTATCCACTAAACCCTTATGAAGAGCCAAAAAAAAGAATAACTTATATAAAAAGAAACTGGAAATGGAATACAAATAACTTTAACAAAACAAGCAATCGAACAAGATGCAGGTAAATATTTCGCCCGGGCTCCCGAGCCCTATAGTATCGTCCGTATCTATACCCGAGATTTCCGTTTTACTCTTGATTGAGGACTCCAGGATTGAGTTCGGATTGGGCGAGATTTATCACGGGAATCAACTTGGTAAGAAAATGTTTTTATTCTGCATACTGCATGTTTTCAGGTACTCACACGGTCGGGTTTAAAATAGACAGTATTCTATTTGTCTAAGTATTATAATCGTCTTTGTGTCTAGATTCATATTAATTTATATTCATATTTTTATATTCCACAGTATCGATTGTAAATTATTAATTTTTATAGCTCTTTTGTATTGCGTGATATATTTTAAATGCCAACAAGAGTAGCACCTACTTAGACTAAGAATGACTCATCCAAAACTTGACTAATATTTTTTGTCCAGATTACATGGTCATCTTGGTATAAAATGACTTAATAAGAGTATTTTACTGATAGAATATATTATGTATTCTATCAATATAATGTGAGAATCAACTCTGAACTTTGTGCGTTTTCTTTCCCATTGGGTTTTTCCACATGAAGTGATATAGATTGCTGATTGCAAATACTCGTATTTAAAACATATATTGCAGATGTTTGTTTTTTTTTTCATTTATTTATTAAAACAAATAAATAAATAAAATATATTGATTTAAATTAGAATGTTCTTTAGAAATGTAAGTATATTATTAATGCTAACATGTTACAAAGAAAATAAAATGTTCAATATATTTTTTCAAAGCTAAATCATTTACAAATAATGCACTTTTAATTTCACCGAGCCTTTCTGTATTTTGTATAATTCTTACAATAAACACATCAAAAAAAGTCGAAAGACGACAAATCACGCTTCTATTGACACCAAAATGCCGAAATAACTGGGACTGATATCTTCAAACTTGTAGCATTCCTACAGCCCTTTGCATTTCATTATCAGTCAAATGGCACCGCTCCATGACATGATTCAATACTCATTTTTTTTTAAAACTGTGTATCTTAATATGATAAAAGTGAGATAAATACCAAATTTATCAAGCAACGAAAAAACTCGAAATCCGAAATAGTAATTTGTTTTTATTATAATGAAAATAAAACACAATCGAAAAGTACCTTTCTTTTAAATCAGCCAGTATACATTTCCAAGAACAAAAAAGACTGTATACCAATCTAGTTCGCTAAGACGAAAATAAAATAATCTGCAGTGTCTGTAAATTATGCGTGTTGCTTAGACTTTTTGATGTTTTTTGACTTTATTTCAGATTACATTTATAATTAAAGTTTATGAAACAGTATGGCATAACAATATACGGTCACCTTTGTGTAGGCCACAAAATATCATTCTCAATGTTAGTACTCTTTGTGTCCGTTTCATGAATGTTTTTAAAGTTCTCCGCGACACGGAACATATTCCTAGTGCGGGCCTGGTCATTGTTTAAAAATAAAAGTTTTCATGGGTCACTACTACAAGGATAGCGTATTGGTTTAAGCGGTTGCCACGCCGCTTGCTACTGAGCTGAGTGTTGTGCGTTCGATCCCCACATAAGACACCGCTTTGTGTGATCCACAAATTGTTGTTCTGAGTCTGGGCGTTCTTTGTATCTGTTTCAAGTATGTTTGTTAAGGCCCCGTGACACATTCCTAATGCGGGAATTGTCTTTTAAAAGAAAGAAAGAATACTGCTGTTAAATTATATATTTTCTACACAAAACAAATCAATTTCAAACATTAACATTGAAAACATAACGTAATCTTATATTTTTAACCAATATTATTATATATCTTTTAAAAAACATTTCGTGGCTTAAGTTTCTTATATTTACGTATCTATATCAACAGTTACAAGTTAAGATAGCGATCTTTTGAATAGAGTCCTACTGTTATTCGAACATCAATTTGCTTTTGGCAACCAGGTAGCAGGCTTCGTAAGGCGAGCAAATAGCGCAAATCCCCTAGGCTTAGATAAAAGTAACCTTTTCGTATCGCAGTTCAGGCAATATGAGATGCTTATCTTTTTGCTATTAGAAAAGCCTTAGGTGAATCATTGTGTATTGGTACTGTGTAGTTACAAATTGCCTACTAGTTTCAGGATGCATCGCTTTTGGAAAAATATTTTTATCGAGCAGACAGTTCACCTGATGGTATGACTACCGCCGCAAATGTTTTTTTTATGACATGACAACTCCTGCATTAGGAATATATTCTGTGTCGCGGAGGACTTTACAAAAATAAATGAAACGGACACAAATAACACCTAGACTCAACACACGACACAACAATTTGTTGATCACACAAAGTGTCGTCTCATGTGGGCATCGGACCCCACAACACTCAGCGTAGTAGTAAGCGGCGAGGTGACCGTTTAAACCACTGCATTATCCGCTAAGTCAATACAGTCACAACCCGCAACTCAATAGACACAAGTGCTTTGCCGCTCTTTGAATGATCTCCCAGTATTAAAGAAAAGGAGGGAGGGAGGTGCTTCCCGGCACGGATGCCGAAGCATGGCTCTCCCTAACAAGGCTATCTAATTAAAATCAGTGTTGTATAAAACTAAGTTTACGTAAGTCTTATCATACATGCGAAGAAGCCGTGTATCTTTTTAGTAAGCGCAACAAAAGCAACTTCATGCAAATAAAAGTGCAAAACAAACAAGATAACTGTAGGCTCCACAAAATTTTAAGATGCACCGACATTGTGTCATTAACATACCCACATCAGGGTAGTACACCGTACAACGAAGGCGGCAACGCTAGAAGCCACAATTAACAATGCAAATTTGCCAAGTGCGAAAGCTGTTCTGAATTTCATACCGGGAATACATATGCTAATTTGATTCGAGCTCAAGAAAAACGCTACAGTATAGAATCTGACGCTCGTTAAGATCTTCAAGGCAAGATGTTTCGAACGCGTCTGTCTCATTTGCGCCAAGTTCTGAGTTTGTTAGTTGAAACCATTTATTTTAAGTGTAAACTTAACTCGATTTTAGAGTAAGCTGCTTTCAGAGTCTAGTTAAATTCCCTATAATTTTAACTAGGTTATTTTATTTTGATGTATGTGTTTTTTATTCGCACATTTTAAAAATTTACAAAAATTGAAACGTATCTCCTTTTTGAACAAACAATAGGGTATAATATATATATTATATTTACTTCACTACGAAAATACTATTTTATGACAATTGTGAGATTGAAAGTTAATAGGAACTGAATTGTGACTGAACTTCTATTACGAGAATTGGCCTTTTGTTTGCACCGGCAACTATTTTTGTTTTTATGATCTGTTTCCGAATGTCGTTTCATCACCAGGGCAAACCGCAATGTGATATGACGAAACTTCAGAGTGAAATATTACAAGTGGATCCACTACTGTAGAGGACTAATGCTTTGGCCTTGAATTATCATCTAAAAAACTGCTGTAAATCTTTATTTTTAGGTATTTGTATGAAACTCAATACAGCACTAATATCGCTTACAATAATGACAGTAAAAATTCATACTGAAAAGCTGTCATAAATAATAATAATAAAAGATTATTTCAGACTAAGTTCCATATTTATGTTAGTATTTTAGTGTTAGTAACAATAGTGCTTAAGATGATAGGTTAGTATTATTACTAATTACATTTTTACTTATATTTACTATTTGTATAGACCTATGACTGTCCCCACCCATTGTTTCTGGAATGGGCAGTCCGGTCTGGCAGCGATCATTTTCAGAATGCTGTTGCCACTGTCATGTATGCGCTGGAGTAAGGAAGCCGCTTTCTTTCGCATAATTGCGTAGAAATCATCTATGCGAGCCTCCGTGAACATACCCGATGCGCTACAGCGCCGCGGCAGCCCCAACAGCATCCTGAACGCATTATTAAATTGAACACGCAGGACATTGTAGGCCCGTCGCGTGTATGACGATAATAACGATTGGTGCATTAAATATAAATAAAAATTCAGTCAAATAAGAACACAGGCAATAGTTAAAAACAATAAAAAAGCCTGAAATAAATAAAAGTGCGCAATACATTCACAATAAAATTCTACAATAAAATATTTTTTAATTCCTCCTCGATCGGCTGACGATTGCAAATGTGTATAACGCTGATAAAAAGAAATGCAACCATTTTTTAAATTGCTTTATTGTTTTTTTATTTTATATGTACACAAGGGGGATTGTGTAAGAATATTCAAGAATGTAAAGCCAACAGCGGCTCCCACCAGAAACATTCCATTTAAGGGACAAGGTAAATAAATATATATTCGTTTTTTTTTTGTATATTTATATGTAGTTCAGTCATAATTCAGTTTTTGAAAGGAAGTCAGTTATAAGCTAAGAAGCAAGATTCAAAAAAGGATCTTCTGTGCTCTCCGATGCCTGCTGTCACTTATGTGGCACGGGAATTCTTTATTATTTTTCCCACGCCTCTTTAGCGTAAATCTTTGAATCTTGAAAGTGGCACTATTGGAATTGTAGATATTTAAATTTACAAACCGATATTAGTTCGCGATATATTTTTTTTACTAGCCTACGGTAAGGTAAACATATAAATCCATAATATTTATTTGTAAACTTAAACTTGTTAGACTTAAACCCTTTAGCTGCAAGAAGTTTATCGTTGAAAGAAGAAAGGTTTTAGTGTTAACAACAGTATTGTATCAATGTTAATGACGGGTCACTAACCACCGGGTTCGATTCCCACCCAAAACAATTTTTTTTTTTGTTCTTTAATTTAGAGCTGTATAAATATCCGCAGTCTGGTTTCAATAGTACGGGCTCTGCCTAGTTTGAAATCAGACTGCTGTGTGTGACATGTGTCAATTTATTATTATTATTATGTTTTCATATAACCTACATATTTTAATAATATTTACCATGCAGTCTTATCAAAAACATGTACCCTGAAGCCAGATAAAGGACCTTGCAGAGGAGGCATTGAGATGTATTACTTCGATGTTTCTACATCAAATTGTTCCACTTTTGCATGGGGTGGCTGTCAAGGCAACGGCAATAGATTTAATACTCTTGGCGAATGTTTAGACAAATGTTTGAGCAAAAAAGGATCAAAAAGTAAGTCTACCCACGGGTTAAAATTTCAATGTTTATCATTCATCATCATCATCATTCAAATAATTTTAATAAACATGGAAATTAGCTTTTGTTACACCTATATCAAAAAAAGAAAAATAATACGATATTGAAAACTACCGCCCCATATCTAAGGTATGTCTTTTTTCTAAAATTTTAGAATGTAACCAGTCTGCAATTCAATTCAATTTATTTACTGTAATATGGGTTATATATACAATAAACAGATGGGAGAGATACAGCTGGTTTCACCATCTGAATCTGAATGTCACAGCATGCAAAAATTAACAATTATTAAAATAGAAACAAAAGAATATCTACTTGTGTCATTGTTCCAAATAATAATACACATCACATCACATCCGCGGCCCGAACATCAATATGTTGGGAAGCCGTTTTAATGACAATCGACGCGAGAACTTTGATCTCCCGATACAGTATTAGTAGTTACCGCGTAGTGCGGTGTGTTTTGGTTAGATGGCGCTGAAGTATCAACATCAACAGCCTATAATAGTCCACTGCTGGACAAAGGCCTCTCCTTAGAAAGGAGGTTACGACCTACTATACCACGCTGGCCAGACGGGTTGGTATAGGATTTGAGTCAAGTTTTCCTTCTCTTTGTAGTGCTGTTGTCTTATAGTTTGTAGTGACATTCCGTATTCTTACAAATAGTAATACAAAATAAAAAAATAATAATAATAATAAATACCAACTATAATATTATGTCAAAATTTATGTACTGATGTATGTCAAAAGAAGATGTAAGATGTACATCATTCTACAGATTGTTATCTTCCATGTATTCTTTTACCGAATAATATGCTTTACCAACTAGAATAGCTTGTAACTTTTTCTTAAATAAAGTCAAGTTACTTTCATTTTTCAAATCTCATGGTACCTTTTCATATATTTTTGGGCCCATGCAGAATATACTTTTATGACTGTGTTTTACAGTGACGTATATGCAGCATTATAGGGTAGTTTTGGCGAAAAGCAACATGGCTATTTAAGGAATCATTCTACTACGTCAAATTTGATCTTTTAACACAAATTTATTTCACAAGGAATCCAACACGAGGGGCAAGTGGACGTCATTTATACTGTAATTATACTGTAATAAATTATATTACAGTAAATGTTTTAACCGTATAGACCATCAAGTACTCTTAAAAAAGTTATACACGGCAGGCATTCATGAGGATCTGCATAGGTGGTTCTCACCTTATATAGGAAATAGGTCGCAAGCTGTTGTGATGCAGGAATATATCTCTAGTTGGAGTTACATACCTTCCGGTGTTGCATACTGCTTTAAACATTTATATATTCTTTTATACGCTGATGATATAAAGGTTCATAAAGTTGTGCAAAGTATATCTGACACATATGAACTGCAAGATGATCGGAAGAGATTTGAGACTTGTTGTAGTCATAATAACCTTCAGCTAAACGTATCTAAATGTTTTCATGTAACCTTCACCCGCCAGAAATCTATAATAAGTACGGGGTAATCAATTAGTAACCAGTTAATCAGCAAAGTTTATAGTATGAAGGATTTAGAAATTATACAAGATAGAAACCTTAGTGTATGACCATGTCGTTAGAACAATATCGTTAAAAAGGCCTCAAAAGCACTTGGATTCATAATTAGAACAACAACTTGCTTCAAATTCATTAAGTCAATTAAAGTTCTAAATTGTTCATTTGTACGCAGCCACTTAGAATATGTATCTCAAATTTGGAATCCATAAAATATAAGCAAATATAAATCCTCAAATAAGCCACGAATTGAAGGTTTCGCCGATTTCTGAGTTAAAAAGAGCAGCAATGGACAGATGATTACGGTCATAGTTGCAAAATGTTCCATTTTCTATCATTTGAGCAAAGACGTTGTAAAGATGACATCTGTTATTTAATAAACGTTATTCAAGGCTCCATTGATTGCCCCGAACTTGTTGCTAAGGTGGAAAAAAGTGTGAATAGAATGATTTTCGACAATGACCCCTATTAAATATACCTTTTGCAACAACGAACTCGATATAGACTTGTTTTACGCCAATGTGAACACAATGAGGTATATAGGCATTATGAAATATTTGCGCACTCGTTTTTAAAGATACACTCAGGGACATACTTTTTTTTTAAATATTATATAGACAAAAATACTGCAACGTGTAAAAAAATACTGAATCTACTACAGTAGTTCTAGCTACAGAAATTTTAAGGGTGAAATAATACACCGTATTGAAATTTGAAGAATTACAGAATTACTTTGAATTTTAGAACCTCGTCCAAAATTTTGCGCTCTTACATATGACTATGGATATTGCTTTGGTGCTCTAGAAAGATGGTACTATGACAACATATGGAAAATGTGCAAAAAAACTATATATTCGGGATGTGGTGGTAATGATAACAACTTTCTGTATAGAGATCAGGTGAGTTTTTCCAAAGAACACTACTAACACTTGTTAACGTTTTACCGAAGCAACGGCTTAGTGGTAACAATTTTTGAAAAATAAAATTACAACTTATTTTCCTACTACCAATTTGATCTCAAGTTCTTCGGTAATACACTTATTAGTATCACTATGAACAATCAAGCAGTCATCTTTCCATCCTAGATCGGTAATTTCTATAACACTACACCGCCATTTTATATGTTTTAATAATATTAACAAAAACAGCTTGTTATATTCAGCAATCGGTAGTTGGTTTACAATTAGTTGAACCTCCGGTTACTGAAATCTTGAACATAAATCTTATTTGATTTGATTTACTATCTTCTAAAGTTATAGCAGATTCAGTGTCAAATACTGTGTCAAAAATACAAGAAATTATCAATAAAATAACCATAGAAATAGGAATAAAAGTAAGAGAGAAGCGTTCTTTTTAAACGATGTAAAATTTCTTTACACTTGCATATTTTAAGGTAAATTAAAAATCAAATGATGAGCAAAGCGTTACAGGTTACTTCTAATAATAGAATTAAAAGCATCGAGACGTATAAAAATATTTTAATTGTTTCTACGTCTTATTGTATTATCTGATTTTTGGTCTATTTACTATTACATATATATCATATTATTTATTTTATCGGAACACCTTAAGCAGTTAAGTTGAATAGTTAAATTATTTAAAATTGATCGCGTTTTAATTTTAATATTGCAGTGTGAATCAGTATGTCTATTTGGTAAAGGCTTTATTAAAAGTAAAAGAACTACAAAAGAACATCTTAAGAAGGTGTTGATTATAAACCCTGAGACTAAAGGAAAATACCAAGCAATTTTTGGTGACGAACGTAAGTCAGCTGGTAATAGTGCACCGGCTAGCAAAACTGGTGCTGAGAGTGTAACCCCTGGTCAACCCGCTGCTGATGGTCCACATAATGGTGTATCCGATACTGATGGCAAATCCAGTGCTAATGATAAACCCAGTTCTAATGGTAAACCTAGTACTACTGACTCTAATCCCTCTGTGACCAGTTCAATTACCTAAAAATAAACTAGTTAAAAAATACTCGTTTTTTTATTTATCTATTTTTACCACTTGAGAAATAATGCAGATTTCACATGTTTTTATGTGTTATATTTTATATTTTACTATGAGCATTAACGGAATACTTACGTTCTGATTTTATGAGGACTTAAATTAAACTTTTGTACATTTAATTTTGTATACCATCCACCAGCATCATATTATTACCGTAATATGTTATCTCTTATTTTATTATATATGAGACCATTTGAAATCTATATTATTATAATAATAACAAACGTGAAAATCTATTGAATGAAACATTTATACCGTACATAACAATGGATTCTCATCACAGTTTTTTTTAAACAAACGTAATTAAATTAAAAGTTCAAAAGAATAAAACTATCTGTAAGGTGTAAGAAATGCGTTTAATAAATAAGAAAGTTAATAATCATAATCACTGTTATTCATTTCAAAGTTTAAAAGGTAACACAAAAATTGCATCACAATAAAGCAGCCCTTCAAAAACTAATAAGTGTGTTGTACCTGATTCACCATAAGGTTTATTATTCTTATTCCTTGACAAAGCGATTATATTTATTTAAAGAAAGTAAAAACTTTGAGGTATTACAATTAATTTATAAAGGTTTCGCAGAAAGACTTAAACAATGAATCGGATCTGAAACAGGAAAACATCTAAATATAATATCAATGTAGGACATAAATATTTTTCTATCTCTTCATCAGAGAGAAGTATCACATCATCGCAGTAAGACACCACGCACATGAAGACAAACTAAGCAGAGCCTGCACTATGGTACTATTAGGTACTACAAATTTGTAGCAGCGCCTACGTTCTACTAGTACTCTAGAAGTTCTTCTAGTAGTTCTAGGTCATTCTTAGCAGCATCTGCATGAACGTCATTTTTAGAGAAAGTCTCGCGTTTACGTGGAGTCACTTTCAAGGAATTAAAACTATCATCTACTGATGAAATATCGGCAAAAAATATACATCAACCTCATCATCACTCATAACATATTATTATAAAAAAATCGAAAAAAAAAAAAACAGAAAACAAAATAATAACTTACAATCCATTGGAGGCGGTGTTCATAAGGTAAAACATGTAGCGTGGGGATATTTCAGAATCTAACATTCTAACACTGTATAGCGTGCCCTGACATACACAAAACAGTATCAAAGGTAAAGGTATGCTTGAAGGCAGAAAATTCTTCTCATATAATGTCGTTGAATATAACTGTAATTAAAAAGTAAATATTATGAGATATTAGAAAAGCAGTCTTAGATATACTTCGATTATATAATTGGACACAATGGAGCCTATGAAAAGTATACTTTAAGTCTTCATAAAGCGATCACAAGTGTATACCTTAGTATGCTCTATTGTCTTAAAGGTATCTATATCATCGACATTATTTTCATCTTTTACTTTTCCCAATTCTATCTTAAGGATGACGCAATGTGTCAACGTCTTGACTAGTTTCTTTTATGGCTGATTACCTGCGTTACACCTATCCTCCTCGGGGATGTAATCCTTTTCAGACCAGACAACGAAGAAACAAATTTGGGTAAGGAAAACAGGGATATCAACTGGCAATTACATACGTCTTTACCTTAAATGCTGCCGTGAAAGATGCAATTGATAATGCTAAATTTGGATTGAAAAGCATTGATAATCCCGCCAAGCATCCAGCTGGTAAGGCATACATTGCCGAGTCATACTTATTTCTGCGGCAGAGATAGCATATTAATGTCTGAAATGTAAAAAAAAGACGCAGAGTAAATAATGTGGTATTTAGTTTACCAAAAAAAAAAAATTAATTATTCTTACTTTGTAAATGCCAACATAGCTACTAAGGAACAAAGCCAACTTAAAATGTCTGCCGCTTATTGAAGATATAGCCTTGATTGGAGTTTTAAACCGTGGAATTAATACCTTGGCTAGAGAAACGGCAAGTCCAATTCCAAAGTAAGTAGACATATTCTGGAAAGAAGAACAGAAAACTCTTAATAAGAAGAGTTAAAAGAAAGATTTCCGCCGCCGCCGAAAAAAGGTATAGGAAGGAACCATATTAAAACAACATGTGTCATAAATTTAAAAAATATGTGAATACGATTCTATCAAACTAAACAACTAAATAAAATATGTTGACGTTAGGTACCTACGGAAAGTTTCTACAATAACAGTTCAACTTAGACCTTTTTTTTTGTTGACGGGGTGGAAAGCCAGGAAGGAGTACGCGGTGTTAAAAACCACCCTGATAGCCAGTCACAGGTGCTCTGCTCTGAGAAACCGGAACCCGGCGGAAAGCAGTCGCTATTCTCACGCCTACCGCAGCAATTAATCTACCACCAAATGTCCCCACTCTCAGCATGCCGCCCCGTCGACGGCTGATATCGCCGCCGTCGTCAGTTCAACTTAGACCTAGACAAACATTGGTGCTAATTCTATTCTTCAAAACTCTGTAAACTAAACTAAAAATCACTAAAAAATTGTTTAGAACTGTCAAGTACTACGTTTTCAGGATACGAAACGTTATTTGACAGGACTAAACAAATTTTTAGTGATTTTTAGTTTAGTTTACAGAGTTTTGAACAATAGAATTAGCACCATTATTTTGCAGCCACAACACACAATTTAAACTTTTATAAAGTATCTAAATGAGAACGCCAGGAGATCTCTAATTCGCTTTTAGTTAATTTGTCATTAGGAAAGAACAGAAAGCGTTACCTTCATTATATAATTCTTACATTCTCCGTCGTGTGGACATACATTCTCAGATCCATAAGATTTTTGCCTGACTTTTTCTGGAACAATTAACCTGAAAATACAATATAATAGTTTCGTGTATAATTGAAAGAAAATAGTTCAATGGCAATCAGGATGACATATATTATACACGGTGTTAAGGACATCATAACGAATACTGAAATAGTGTTTTCTGACCATCATTCTGAGTGGAAAATAATTGAAATTTTCTTCCTGAAAATTAAACTTTTTATGCAATCAGCTGTCAAAGACAACGGTCATTTCCCGTATTTATCGCACAAAAGTAATAACTACATGTGTATTCCGTGCAAACAGTCTAAGCACACTAACACAAGTTGGCGGCCGAAGGGGAGGCCCAGCGCGCTTCGGCTGTTTGATAATTACATTGTAGTTTTTGACCGTATGCGGTATTTATTAATATTTTTTCGGTGAAAAGTTCTGTTTACTCATTATGATATAATTTTTAACCAAAACAAAAATTAAAATTTTTAAAAAAAGAATATTAATTTTCCGGCAGAAAATTCCAATGATTTTCGACTCAGAATCATGGTCTGAATACACTATTTCTGTATTCGTTACGATGTCCCTTACACCCTGTATATTATGTACAGTGAAATAATAATATAATAATGCAGTACACAAAAAAAACTACTAAAACCGCATTTCTATTAACGAATGCTAATTTAAAAAAAAACTGCATTACTTAGAGCATACGGAAAGTTTCTAGATTCTGATAAATAAGACTAGATATAAGACTTAATATACATTTATTGTTTTCCGAAGTATATCGTTACAATTAACGCATTTTTGCATTCTCTAAAATCGCTGTACAAAGTAGTTGGATCAGTTTTCCTTAGGGACCTTTTCAATGACTTCATTGAACGCATTCACTTCGATTTTGACACAACGCCGATTCAGGGCTCGTAAAACGTGTGCCTCTAAGTTTGTCTTTAATTTTTGGAAACGAAGAAGTCGCAGGGTGCGAGGTTAGGGCTGTAAGGCGGATTCATCATCAGTTCTACATTTAAAGTCTTCAAATAGCGACGTTATCGTGGTGAAGAAAGACATTGTTTCGATGAAACTTTTCGCGAACATTTTCTAAAACTCTGGGCAAGCAATTATTGACGTACCAATCTGCAGTCACTGTCCTTTGATCTTCAATCGAACCTGTAGTGTAACGTCCTCATTTGCCGAAAAAAGAAACAACTATTTTTTTAGCAAATCTTCAAAAGGAAACTCACACTCAACACTATGCCGACTGACTTTTTTTGGGTTCAAAGCAGTACACGCAGGTTTCGTCACCTGTCACGATATTATAGATAGCCAATGAGTGTTCTCCGTTAAAACATTTTTATCATTTTACTGCACGACTGGACACGCAGTCGTTTCTGGTGCTCCGTTAAGTCATGCGGTATCCATCGAGTGCAAAGCTTCCGAACCTTCAGATGCACATGTAAAATATTTTGCACTTGTCTCATTCCAATGCCTATCAAAGCACGAATTTGATGGCAAGTTATTTTTTGGCAGATTTAATAACAACTCGTGCGGTGTCAATATTAAAATCTATAACCGCAGTCACCGGACGACTTTCAAGTACTTCGTCAAGTCTCCAAACTACGAATACACAGAGCTGCGACATGGTGCTTCATCACCACCATTTTCGATTCTTTTTTTGTAAGTTGAATTGTAAGTGGCCAGATCCAAAGACTTTCAGTATGCCCCACGTATTACCTTAAATAAGTCTCTCTGCTACGTGTTCACGCCTAAACCGTTGAACCCAATGTGATTAATTTTGGTCTCAAGATAGAGTTGAAAAAGACTCAGGCTTTACTTTAATGACAAGACAATGCGTTTGAAATAAAACTTGAAGATGGTGTTATAGAGATAAAAGGTTTTACGGGTACGATTTTTCACAGATAAAGACTTGTCAGCATACATAGTAAAAATAAAAATGAAACCTTAAATATTACCTACCATAAAATCGAACTTCTTTCTTTCTTCACTGTTTCTAAGCGGATTAAGTACAGCAGCAGAGAGTTGCCTATCATAAACAATAGCACTTCTTTTGTTTTAGTTATAGATATAAATCCAGCTCTATTTAGATATTTTAAGCAGTACTCGATCACCTAAAAGTTAAATAATTACATCAGTAAAGGACCATCACCATGCATCATCAACCCGTCCTCCATCTCTTTAATAATACAGTAAAACCCGCTTAAGACCATTTCTCAGGGACCCTACTAAAAACGCGTCTTAAGCGAGAAAGCGTATTATGCGGGATAGGGAAAATAAAACGTACTATATATTATTATGTATTATGTTCTAATTTTGGTATATATAGGTATTAAATTATACATTTATAAATTACATTAAATACGTAGTGTAATTATAATTACATTATTTAAAATAATCACTTATTTTGATTTGACAGAAAGATTTTGATGCATTAGCAATTAAAAGATTTTCAACATAATTCAACTTTTGCAGTGCGTCTTCGCTTTGATCCAAAGAAGCTACATAGCGTCTTAAATCATTAACAGCAGATAATGCCTGGGCGTTTGACAAAACCGGAGTTGGCGGAGGCTGTTGATGATTGATTGATATAGTGTTTTATGATTTTGTTTTGCAATACCTATATTGGCTTTGTATTAGTTTCAGCTACATTGCCCCAAATCTCAATGAGATAAAGTAGGTGAGACTTTCTAGGGCGTTTTATATTAGAAGGCGAACTTTGTGTGGTATACATCTAACAATACAACGTAATGATCCTGCTAGCTAGCAAGATCGAGAGCTTGGATTCTACGTATTCAATGTGTGCCCGCCAGGTTAAGTTACTGTGAAGTCACAAGCCAAGGTACTTTTCCTTATTAGATTTCTGTAAGATTTGTCCGTTGATTTTTATTTTTCATAAAAAAATCATATTCATTTAGGGTAACTGAGCGATTATTTGCTCTTTTTACTTCTGCGTCATTGCCCTCAACATAATAATCTTTGAAAAAATAAAAATACTCGTAGTCAGAAAATAAACTAAATTTGTTTAAATTTAATTTATTTGTCATTATGTCAAATTTTGAAAATTTGAGTATTTTAAAACAATTACTGAATTTAATTTCTGCTAGAGGTGAATGACGCAGAAAACTGAAGAATTAAAGAACGAATATTTACCTAAAGCTATAACTCAATAAATAAAAATGTTTGATTTTGAAAAACTTTACCATCAAACTTCAGAACTTACTTAAATATTAAGAAAATAGACGAGTATCTTACCAAATTGCTATAGAAATTTGTAATCAATTGTCTTCTACTAGGTGATTCCAATGTCAAAAATATGCCACTTAAAGCAAAAGGTATCGATAAGAAGAAATGGTAGTCAAATCTACCTAGTAAATTTCTGAAATAATACGATAAGAATGATATTAACAATTTACAGATTAAAAGCTTAAAAATTATGAACAAAAATGATAGCTATCTATCGTGGACCTGCCATGCGTCGTTACATTTGGGCCTCTAAGTAAAAAAAGAAAGAAAGAATGAAAAAGAAAAGAATTATTATTGTCAACAACAACAGAAAGGTGTTCAATATTTACATTTATGTAGGTACATTATTAGTATTATAATAAGCAATTATTTCGTTCCGTTTCACCAAAGGGTCAAACCCATCTGTGTCTCTTGAAATGCACGTGTCCGCGGACGGCAAAAGTCACTTACCATCTGGTGATCAGTTAACTCGTTTACCATTATACCCCTAAATCATAAAAAACTATGCTCCAGATAACGAGTTTTGGATTAAATATCCCATAATTAATGATCAGGAGATCACTGAATTTTCAGTTCTTGTTCAAACGTAGTTCATCAGCCTGATGATGTATGTATAAATGCCGATCAGGTAACTGAACTAGAGGCCGACAAAGTTAACTTGCCCAATTGTAATAGCTGTGACTGTAGAAGATGTTACAGAAAAGGAGAATGTTTATTTCGGTATGATCATCAGTTTCTCACTTTTTTTGGTGGTTTCAAATATGTAAAAGCTGTTTTTTTAAGCCTACGCAATATACAATATACCTGTACAATAGTCCTGTTGCAAGGATTATCCATAATATAAATGTATATTACAACAGAACTTGAAAAATTTAATGTCAATATTGTTGGGAAAATAAATGTCGTTAGGTCGATAACAACAACGAGAAAATATTGTGATACTTTAAGAGTATTTTTTTAATGTTCGTGGAATCATCATCATCATACACGAAATAGTAGATTACTAAATTGAAAAAAAAAAAGATTATCTTAGATCGGTACATACTTACATCTTAATTTGAAACTTATTTATTAAACATGAATATTGACCGATATCTATATTTTTTCATTTGATTACTAAGACCTATACCACCCAAATGCCCTTTTTTTTTCCGTGCGGATATCCCCTCGGATACCACCGATAGGTGTCGGTGGCATGTCGGACTCGAACCGACTAAAACCGCACGCCGTCTCGGGTACTAATAGCCGGGTAACCAGATATACCCTAGAAAGGAAGTCCCTGGTGCACCCAAATGCCCTGGGCATGAAGTAAGACGTTGTATACAAATGAAACTACCTGTATTTAATACCAGTTATATCAAAACTTACAAAAATATGTATCCCATTAAATAACAAATTAGAAAAAGAAAGAAAATATGTTTACTTTGGCAATGACACAATAATGTTGTCAATTTTGCAGTTTTAGCTACCATCCGTGCCAAAAACGGACCAAATTCAGCCTTATGTCAGAAGAAAGCCTGACGCTGGTTTTCATTTGGGCCCAAAATGACGCTATGCGTAAAACTAGTTGCAGACCGTAATTATTACACTTTGTACATACATCATAAGAGTTATTACATAAATGTAACAAGATAAATAACAGATAAACAGATCACGCTAATATAAATTACAATATACACAATAACATAAATCAATAAAGCGTGCACACTCGATTACTTTGAAAGCGCTCACCAGCATGCGCTATGCATCACGCATGCATATTTAAGAGATGTCCATATCCAGTCTCCGCTGTGAGTCTATGAGATACTGCCGCAATCTATATCTAAAAGTGCCAATCGTATTTAACGATCTTACAGGCGGCGGCGGTAAATGGTTCCATATCTTTGAGGTTGCACAGCGGAAACTACCTACTAAATTAGAAATACAGGAAAAGTATATTTTTGTGGTCTTTTTTTCCATTATTTGTTTCTAGCTTAATTTTGTCGGCTTCTCATAATGCTCGTAAAATTTGACTAACACTTTTTGTAACAGATTAAGAGTATAATTGAATAAAAATAAAACTGTTTTTCACCTCAACAAACAGACTAGCTGCATCCCTGAGACTGAGACCAACACACCTGTAACGACAGACCTCCCATAATCTTTGCCAATTTTGATCCATTGTTCTTTTTTCTTCAATTTTTTCCCTTGCATCAAAAGTTGCCCCTAAAAAATATTATTAAGACTAATGTACTTTTAAAAGAAAATGAATCAGATATTAGTCCATGTATTATGTAGTCCGTGTGGTGACGGATTAAGAATACGAAATGTTACCACCCCTATTCATACCGTGGGTGTCAACTAAGGGAGCAAATACGCAGGACAACAACACTGCAAAGATAAGGAAAACTTGAAACAAACCCTATATCAACCCGTCTGGCCAGCGTGGTATAGTAGGCCAAAACCTCCTTTCTGTGTCCAGCAGTGGAATGTTATAGACTGTTGATGATGATGATGAATCAGATATTACTTGTGTACTTAAAAACTTATGGAAAAATTCGAAGTCCATTATTGTTGCGATGCTGAATGCAAGTTGCTGGTTCAAAATAAAGATATAAAATTAGGTATACATATATTGTAAATAGGTATCGTATAAAAAGCAATAAGATTTAGATATCTTAAGAACGTTTCAATGTTATTTATTGCCTCTACAACCAAAGGTTTTGTGTAGTATTGAAGTGGTTCCGACCTTTCAGCTGAATTAGATTTTTTTTCTTCGGAGTGAAAATGAATGCTCAAATAACACTATGTTTTTGTCTCACCTGTATCAAAGGAAAGCATTTCGTGCTTAAATATTTTATACATGTTTGTTTTCAATTTAAATATAAATCAAAATTAGGTTCATTATAATTGTATCATCATCATCATCAACAGCTTTTACTAGTTCACTGATGGACTTAGGTCGCTCCTTAGGAAGGAGTTTTTGGACTACTACACAATGCTGGCCAGACGGGTTGGTATAGGGATTGTGTCCAGTTTACCTTATCTCTGCAGTGTTTCTGTCCTCTGTAGTTTGCTCCCTTAGTCGCCTCTTACGACACCCACGGGATGAATAGGGGTGGTTACACTCTGGATTCTTAATCCGTCACCACACGGACATATATTTGTATACATAATATATACAGCTAAGATCTACGGCTATAATTTAGAACTGTACTTACAAGATAAATGAACGCGAAGAATTTAACACTTCCTATAAGACATGCTTTGAAAATAGTTGGAGATGCTCTTAGGCAGCTTTTGGTCCATGGATGTACCAATGTGTAACATGGCACTTCTTTGCAATAGGCATCGAATACTGGTTTGCTTATTACCACCATAATGTACCCTCTCTTCTTAATTAACACTAAAAATCTTGGTAATTCTAAATTTATGTAAGATAAGACAATTTTTTTTTTTTTATTATTCGTGATGACATTATTTCATGAAATAAATTACTTCTAAATTCTGAAACAATGAAAAGTAAAAATTAGTATGTGGAAATTGGTTAAATTAATAAAAACAAATATAAAAATATCTTTAAGCATTATAATGCACGGCAAATTATATTATTAATGATCAAATTGTAAATTATATAAACAAAATCAAATTGAGCATTGCACGTGGCTCTTTCTCTTTAAAATGACAACTCCCGCATTAGGAATATATCCTGTGTCGTAGGGGACAACATACATGAAACGGACACAAAGAACACCCAGACTCAGAACGACAGTTTGTGGATCACACAAAGTGTCGCCCCATGTGGGGATCGGACCCACAACATTCAGCGTAGTAGTAAGCGGGATGGCGACCGCTTTAACTACTAGGCTATCCGTTCGGTCGGCTAATACGACTTTTTTAAATGGGACTAATCCCACCCACACGCCCACCACTGTAACTCCTGTACACCAGGATCCACAGCAGTGACCGACGAACACACCGAGTTATGACACTCGGGAAGTCCCAGGAAGAAATTAAACTGTCTTGGAACCCGCAACGAAATTAATCAGAAGAAAATTGGAGGAGTTGGAAATATAGTAAATCCACTTCCCTCCTTAGCAAAGCGGGAGACAAACTGAAGTTAAATGGGCATACACCCTTTTAAACAGAGAAGCACCACGGCCACAAAATATTACGGGTCCTACGTGAGCTATATTTGATTTCTATAATACGTATGGCAGAATCGCCTAAACGCACGGAAATTCACCCTAGTTGACACAAGATCCCCATAGTATACCGCCCCAGATATCACCTGCAAGGTATTCAGCATTATATTACGTTCATTATATTATCAGCATTATATTATATTACGCTAATACGACTGTAATAATATTATAAAGTACCTACCATTATATTATAAATCTCGTACGCTAAAACCCTTAACAACTCTAAATGCCATCGCTAGATCACCGATTTCAACGATGTTTGCGCTATTTTATATTTCGTAAAACATTATTACCACTTGCAAGAACTTGACGTTCCCAAGGTTATCGGCGTAGTAAGGTGACCACAAATACTACTATAAAGCTATAATCCTCACCAACATTGTATTATTATCAGTGTGTTATTATATTTTATTGAATGTATGTCTGGTTTTTTGTTTGAAAGTATAGATACGATAAATAACATAAAAAAGGTTGCTTTGAACCTGTCTGTGTGTCTTAGGAAGTCATTAATGTTAGACGCATTGGCTGAAATTATATAGATAGTAGGCCCAAACCTCCTTTCTAAGGAGAGGCCTATGTCCAGCAGTGTACTATTAAAGGCTGTTGATGATGATGATATAGATGATGATGATGATAAACATAGAATCGAAAAGTAACATACTTTTAAACTTCTTTGAAGTACTACGAGGCGTTCATGGAGGTCACAATTGTTTTCTTATTTTATACTAGTAAGATATATGTCTCTATTAAGTCTCGACTATGTTTAGACAGACGCTCACACTACTCGTATCAATGTTGTATATAATGAAAGAATAAAATGTTAATAATATTGAACTATATTGTAGTCACAAACACATGTGCGTCCGAACCGAGTGTTACACAGACTGGCTAACGCATGTGCAAACGTGCATTCTCACAAAGTATGTATGTTTCCCTACTGTACTCACCTCCTAAAAATACATTTATATCTATACAATACAAATTTATTAAATTCAAGTGTCTGTAATGTCGAAAAAATAGGTTTTTTTAATGCTCACACGATAGTTTGCACGATACCTATGCCTAAATATCAGTTTAAATATTTTTTGCTTGTCTATCTGTCGGTCTATCTGTCTGTCTGTTTGTTCCGGGTAAGCTTTAAAACAGCTAGACCGATATTGATAATATTTTACTACCAGGTAGCTGTCTATATAAGGAGTAACTTAGGCAATTTTATTACCGACTTCAAAGAGAAGGAACTTGTCAATTCGCATGTTTATATATTTTTTAATGCATACATAACTCCGTCATATATGGACGGATTTTTAATATTCTTTTTTTGTTTGAAAATAGGTTTATTTCGAAATGGTTCCATAATTCCATAGAGATATTCCGATCAAGTTATTTTTATCCTCATTTCAATGAGTTTAGAAATCATATTACTTAATTTCGATACAATTATACCGCGGCATGACGTGGCATGTCACAGGACGCCGCAGCATGTCGTATCATGCGGTTTTATTCTACAGATTATCATGCCACCATTTCCTGCGAGTAACATAGGTCGCAGGAGTATAGCCCCCTAACTCGGCGTCAAGCGCGGTCGACAGTGAATCAGTTTTGTTTTGCGCGGATACAAAGTTGGTTGCGTCGTTCTGATTGACTGGAATTTATTATTATAAGCAGTTCTTGCTGAAGATGAAGAGAGATAAACAAAAACAATTCTGGTTACATAATTTGGGGAGAACACGAGACATTCTGTGTTCACACAGAGTGTCTCGTGTTCTCCCCAAATTATGTGCGACGCGCGTGCTTCTTTGATTGCCCAAGCGCCCAGCCCAGGCTGCACCCCATTTGCCGACAACACCGCCACATCCGATTTAAACCTTTTTACAATTAGTTTGGTTCTCATATGCCAAGAGATGGTGCGGTGTAATTGTATCGAAAAAGTAGAAGTAAAATAACATGAATTCTAAACACATTGAAATATGGATAAAAAGAACATGATAAGAAATAAAATCCTTTACCATCCGAACCGAGTCGCGACGTCAGTTAGTGCCGGCCCTATTGTGTGGCTGGGCTTTCTGCGAGATGCCATGGCGTGACTTCATACCAAAGCATTTTTCAGCTGCCGAAGGACACCCTGCCGTGCTGACGTTAGTCCTACCAGTAGCAACCTACTGTAACCTAGGAAGGAAATCCCTGATACCCTGACGGGTCCTGAGCCCTTTTCTGCTTACAGATGGTCTCCTGATGTGTAGTGACCAGAATTTCCCGTGCCTGCCCCTAAAGGAGCTCACCTGTCACCCTCAGGCCCGGCGCTTATTAAGGATGGAGATAATTCAGCGACCACTAGCGCTTAAGCCTCCTGCAGTACCTACCTGGTCCGTTTCCGGTCCTGGTGAGCTCCGTAGCAACTAAGGGATTTACTTAGAACTCTCACGGTACGTTAAGTTAGGGTAAGTTCTTTAGCTAAGTTTTTATTTATTGAGAAACTTGTGTTAATGGATTTATTTGACAATAACACAGATACTCTAATTATATTTTTAGCACTGAATCTTCGATTACTCTAACTACAGTCGCAGCTTTACTTTCGATTTTGAGCAATGGTTTCAATATTGGGTGAGCACTCTTTATACTATTGTTTGCGTTTCGTACCATCGTACATGGTTGCAATAAGTCACTAGGTCATGCCTCTGCTAGAAACACGCTGGACATTCTGGCAGCGTGTAAAGCGTCATGACCACGCTCTGGCCATCATAGTGGCAGTACCCGGACGTTGGCTCTTTGCGGATCTGGCACAGGTGACCTCCAAAGCATCCTTTGCATCACCCAGTATCAGAGGGTCCCGTGTTTCCTATCGAGCCAATCCTCCATAACGTTTCTTACCGTGGCAATAACAGCCAGAATTTAGCTGCTCCAAAATATCCCGAACGTAAAAATTTCTTGAGTTATTCAAATTACACATACTTATGTTTAATAAAGTAATTCGAAGCCTATAAACATTTGCATGTATTTTCGTACACCGATCAAAAGATGTTACTATGATCAGATAAAAATGCATAGACATGCAAATTATGAAACAGTTTCGTTTTCTGTATTTGCCGCCCCTTGAAGATTCCGCCCGTGTGCGGTGCACGCATTGCACACCCGTACCCGGTGGCCCTGAGGCAGCGCTGTTCAAACTCCACGCCAACGAAGTCGCGAATACCAGCAAATTAACAATAAAAATTCTATATTTTAAACTAAAGTGATTACCTTGAAATTTTACGCGTACAATTAGAACACAAATGAAAATATTAATTTAATTATTAAGTACAATTTCGGTATCACTCATTACACTATAGTTGAAATTAATTAATGATTTTACGATAGCAACACAATTAACACACATTGCTCCTTTGTTAACCGAAGGTGGCTGCTGTGGTATGATGTGCACCTATACAACAGATTTTGCCTCAGTTACCAAGACGCCATGGGCCATGTCAATAAAATGAATTTGTCGTTCGAAACGTTATTAACTGTAGTTTCGTTCACTGTATTGTGCTCTTCCTTACTTTGATTCTAACCCATATTGTTACTTACGAAAGACAAAAAAAAATTAGGTTACATAAAATGAATGTAAGGAAATAATGAACTTGGTTAATTACAACATTAATTTATATAATATGTTCTATTCCATTGCGAAATCATTACATTGAAAAAATGCTGATCACTCAATTAAAAAAATAGTCTGTTCTAATTGTAAAAAACTAAATAAAACATACATTGCCTCGCTTGTTTGAGTTCCTTAAATCGAAAGTCATTTGCGGAGATTCAAACAGTCCGAAAGGTGATATGTTAACCGTTTTCTCAATGTTTTCGGAGGCAACAGGTAGAAAATGGTACACACAACGTGTAGGGGATTGGCGTATTCGTTTTTTGAAGGTCTGCATACACCAAGCTCGGTCATTAGCCTGAACTCTTCCTTGACTCTCGCGTATTGATCGGGAGGTAATAGCCTTGCTTTAGCATACACTGGTCCTCCCGAAGTTTCAGTGGAATGTAACACGCCATGTTTAGGTTGTCATTTATAGCAAACCGGTTTTGTTACATCAAGAAATGCACATAATATTCATATATAACATTAATATTCATGCCAAGGATTATTACTGTCTATATTTTGAACCGTCACTGCTTATCACTGAGGATAACAA